AGAGTTCTCTGATTTGCTCATTTTAGCCACTCTGACTGGCGTGAGGTGGTATCTCAGTGTGGTTTTGATGTGTATTTCCCTGATGAGGAGGGATGCTGAGCATCGTTTCATGTGTCTGTTGGCCATCTGGATGTCCTCTTTGGAGAAGTGTCTGTTCATGTCTTCTGCCCATTTCTTCACTGGGTTGTTTGTTTTTTGGGCGTGTAGTTTGTTGAGTTCCTTATAGATTCTGGATATTAACCCTTTATCTGATATGTCATTTGCAACTATTTGAGCTACTATTATTAAGTTCTTTTTCTCCTTCATGAGTCAGGAGAATGAATTATTAAGAAAAGAACTATGTAGAACAAAATTAATGCTCTAATGTTTTAAACAGAATATATAATACATGATGGGGGATGTAGGGTTCAGGTAAACAGGACCAACATGTCCCCAAGTGCCTGATATGTGTGGAGCTCTGGTGTAGGAAGTGTGGAATCTGCCAGTGAAAAAGAGGAAGGAAAACAAGAGACAAACAAGATGGAAGAGATGGGAGTCAGAGAATAGGAACTGACAGGACCAGTATGGACGAGGAAACGGTCTGAGTACACAGTGAGCTGAAGAGAAGTAGAAAAGTGACTTTCGGAATGGCAATGGCTTAGAAAGCAATTGGAAGTAACAGTGGAGAAAAATACCCAACTACAGAATATCTAGCTTCTTGAATTGAAGGGCATAGTGCATTTACATTTTCATAATTATCTCCCGTTGAGTTAAAACAAAGGAAATATATTCTAAGTATTTTACCCAAATACTATATTCAGGAAGGTCTAATTTTGATGTAACTTATATACCAATTCTAGTTTCTGATATAATCTCTTTTCAAAAGCATTAATTGGAAAAAACCTTAAAATGAAAAATAGATTATGTATTTCCAAAGACAATTTTGAAAATATATCTAAAATAAATGCTGACTCTCATGCTTGCTTCAGCAGCACGTATACTAAATATACTAAAGTTGGAGCAATACAGAGAACATTAGCATGGCCCTGCGTGAGAATGACACAGAAATTCATGAAGCATTCCATATTGAGAAAAAATAAAAATAAAAAACAAATAAATGCTGACTCTCAAATGAGTCAAATCAAGTACTAAATGATAAGGTGGCAACCATTGTCAAATGTTAACAGCTTATGGCCTTGAGCTTCAAAAAAATTTAATTGAATAGGATATTTGATCTTAAATGTTTAATAATTACCCAATGAAAATCTAATCTTATACTCATGTTTTTTAATACTCTATGACATTTTCAAATAGCTTCATTGTCATAAGCATTTAACTTCTACAGCTACCAACTTTAAAAGGTATCTGACTCCCATAAGCACCTCTTCATCATAATACCTATCATTATCAATTGTCACGTAGTGTCAGTTAATATCATTTGTGTTTGGAAAATGCTTCACAGTGCCTCATTGTGATGAAATGTGTTTGAAGCTTGAGGTGTGCAGCTAAGTTGCACGTCTACAGAACAGAAGTATAATAAATACAATGTGCTCTTCCCCAGTCGAGTTATAATTTCAGGTAAAAGAAAGTAACTTGAGAGAGAAGAATTAACCAAATTAGGTAAGAGAAAAAGTCAAACAGCATGTCAGGAGGATTTCCATTTTCTTCCCCTAGCTGTCTTCAGTGTTCCCGGAGCTGTGGGTAGCAATTTAAAAAATGTGCTTTGTTGGGTGTACGCCACATTCACTTCCTGCACAAGGATATGATTCCACCCCCTTTTCTTTTGCATAAGTCATTTCTATTCAGTAATTCCATGGGCCTGCCTGAGTCTTCCTTCAGTGATTCTGGATGCAACCACCCACGACCCAAAGCAGGGAAGGAGAGGTGGCCTTCCTCGTGGAGTCTCCAACACACAGGTGCATGTCCATTCTCTTCCTGAGGAACAAGTTGTTTTGTGCAACCACATATCAGGTCTTTCAGAAAAGGAGGGAGGAAACTAAAGAGCAAACAGATGAGCCATCTGCAGTCATTTCTTTCATTGTGGTCTTCTAAGCTACAGCAACGTTACCTTCCAGACCATGTTTCTATATCCACTTATGCAGTCTTCAGGAATATGGGGGCAGGTGATGGAGAGAGAAATCTTTGTGCTCACCCAGTGGGTGGGAGCGGCCGCAGGGGTGGCAGGTGTAATACAGTGCGACAGAGGTGGTTTGGTATTCTTTTTGGGATGTTCCCCAAACTGTCCTGAGGATAAATTTGGCTCTCCATTTTAAAGAATAAAAACCCAACACTTCACTGCTATGTATAACAATATAGGTTATCTGTGCCCTTTTTCACCTTCTTAAAATAGAGTTTTCAATATTCGTGCAGCAGAAGCAGTGGGAAAAAATAAAGACCGGAAGCTTTTCTTAGATTCTTTTGCATGCCTCAATAGGGGCACCACATCCTGCTCTCGACACAAAACAAACTACCCAAAGTACTCTCAAAGCAGGACTTTAGAATATTAGAAAAAGACTGTATTAGTAGAACTTTCCAACTAGTAGGAAGTAAAATTACACCAATTGCATGATCACATGCAATGGCCACTTCTCTTTGGGAGCTGGGGCTCCACATGGCATAACTGGAAGGGAGAAAACATTGTGTCTTCTTCATCCTCAAGACTGTTTGGGATTCAAGGAGGAAGTTGAAGCAAATTCTTCCTTCCAGAGAATGTAATGTGTGTGATGTGATGTGATGTGATGTAACACAGTGCAATGCAATGCAATGCAATACATGTAGCAAATTCCTCTCTGGAGGTCAGAATAATCATTCTCATTTTTGGATACAATCTAGATAGAGCCAGAGAAAGCAACTGGATCTCTCTCAGAACCTCATTATTTTTCTCTCCAAGAGGGATGGAATTAAAACCTTTCTGAATTCCTTCCAGGTTTAACATTCCATAATTCTTTCTGTCCTTTTTGGTAGGTGGCACTGTCACAGCAATAAAGAAGACATATTAATTTATTATATCCCAGTTTGGAAAAATGGTGTTACTCAGCATAAGTTGGTGCAACCTGATAAATCAGATGCAAACTTTAAGCTCTCAGGAGGCCTATACATATGTAAGGAGGATGAGTTCTTGGGAAGGCGCACATACTTTCTGGGTACAGAGGTGCACTGGCACATCCAGAGGTGTGATCTTAATCCCACTGGCATATTACAACCGAGTCCTTTCATATCTGTGATCTCATGTGAAAATCCAATGCTTACCATCACCGTGAAGAAAGGGAGTGGGCATACTTGACATTCCACAAGTGAAGTGCCTGTGGTTCAGTAACTGTGCCTCACTCAAGGTCACAAAGCTAGTCAATAAATTTAAAAGTACGCAAAACCCTCCATGATCTGGATCCTTTCCACCGCATCCCCCGCCCACTGCCTCCATCATCTCCTACCTCTCTGGCTGCCTTTGGAGTCCATGAGTTAGCTTAGTCTAAGTTATGTGCAATTTGTGAAGCTAACAGTATGTCTTCATGGGTCTAAAAATTCTTAGTCACCCTTCAAGGCTCAGTTGGAGCATCGCTCCTTGGAAGAACTTCCCTGGGTGATGGCTCATCTCTGCCACTCATGCACGTATCTCCTTGCTAGTATTGGAGGAGTGAATTGTCTCTAGGTCTGGTTTTCTTTCCATATCAGTAGCTTATTTTTATCATAGAGTCCCTAGCACTTGGCACAGATCCTAGAACTTACAGGGTCTCAATAAATACCTGTTGAATGACTGCCTGCCTCCTGGAGAAAAGCTGACCTAAACATAGATTTAAAGAATAGAATGAGCACTGCCAATGATTTGACCTAGGTGCAGCGTAAATATATTACTTTGCTTCATAAAAATGTAGATAATGGTTTTTTAAAAAATCTAGTGATACCATTGTATGGACCTGTGGTTTTATTCTAGTTAGAAAGAGAGCCAGAATGTGCACTCCAGGTTGTTATACTCTTAGCTTAAAGCTACTTCTACAAAATACTGTGTGTACAGGCTGGGAACTGATCTTTAAGCTTGAGGGTCTAGTTCTAGAGGCATCTTTTTTTTAATATAAGCAAAATATACACTTTTAATATACATATATATTTGTGTGTATACATGTATAATATATATACATATATGTTCATGTCTCCCCTTTCGTACACAAAAGGTAGTATATTAAATAAGAAACTATTCTGGTAATCATTTCATATTAGTACTTAAAGATCCTTCCTTGTTACTTTTTGGAGCTGATTAATACTCTATGAATAGAGCACAGTCCATTCAATAAAGACCCTACTGTCAGTCACTGGTGTTTTCTCCATCTTTTGCTATAGGCTAAAGTAGAGTAGCCCTTCTTAAGTCAGTTGCTTTTAGCATTCTGTTTTCTTTTCTTTTGTTTTTTGTCTTTTTCTTTATATCATTTTTAAATGATTTTTTTTTTTACAAATAGTTTATTGTCAAGTTGGTTTCCATATAACACCCAGTGCTCATCCCCACAAGTGCCCTCCTCCATGCCCATCCCCCCCTCCCCCCTACATCCATCAGTCCTCAGTTTTTGTCAGCATTCAAGAGTCTCTCATGGTTTGCCTCTCCCCCTTGTTCCTCCGTCAAGTTCCTCCTAATCCTCCACTAGCAAACATATGATATTTGTCCTTCTCTGCCTGACTTATTTCGCTCAGCATAACACCCTCAAGGTCCATCCATGTTGCTACACATGGCCAGATTTCATTGTTGCTCATTGCCACGTAGTATTCCACTGTATAGATAAACCACATCTTCTTGATCCATTCGTCTGTTGATGGCCAAAACAAACTTTCCATGTTTTGGCTATTGTTGAGAGTGCTAGAGACATCTTTTAAAAAATAATAAAAATACTGTTTGACATTTCCATAGTATATATTATTCAACTCCTCCCACCCCTTGCCCCATCCAGTATTCTACTCATGTTCTAGCAACTGATCACATAACACTGAACATAGAGGTTTGTGCTTAATTGGCATTAGAAATGAGATAGTATAAGGTATGGCTGAGTACTGTGTTCTTTTTCTCAGTGATTTACATAGCCAGACACCATGCAAAAGTAAAGTCATCCCTTTGAAATGCCTGTGATGACTGATGAATGGATAAAGAAGCTGTGGTGTGTATGTACAATGGAATACTATCTGGCAATGAGAAGGAATGAAATCTTGCCATTTGTAACAACATGGATAGAACTGGAGAGAGTGAAATAAGCCAGAGAAAGAGAGATGCCATATGTTTTCACTCATACGTGGAATCTGAGAAACTTAATAGAATATCACAGGGGAAAGGAAGGAGAAAAAAATAGTTTCAAACAGAGAAGGAGCAAACCACAAGAGACTCTTCGATACAGAGAACAAACTGAGAGCTGATGGGGGGCAGGGGGAAGGGAAAAATGGGTGATGGGCAATGAGAAGGACAATTGTTGGATGAACACTGGGTGTTGTATGTAAGTAGTGAATCATGGGAATCTACTCCCGAAGCCAAGAGCACACTGTATGCACTGTATGTTAGCTAACTTGACAATAAATTATATTTAAATAAATGAATAAATAAATAATTTGTGAATTAATGAAAAAAACATTTAAAAAATAAATAAAATGCCTGTAATGGTATGCTAAGCTTTTTAATAGCACATTATTTTTAAAAGTGTATACAAATAAATGAACTAATGCTAGGAACTTGTAAAAGGTTCCAAATACTAGTTAAATTGGGCTACTTTGCTATTTGACATGTTGCTTGTACTGCTTTCAAGTGTAATATTAACATTGTGGTGGTTATACTGAATTCTCAAAAATGGATGGCTTTTATATATGTCTTTTAATTTTCTTAAAAATGATTCTACAGTTTTATTTGCTTTGTAGCTTAGCATTTCTGTCCTTCCCCCAACCCAACAGAAAAAAAAAAAAGGAGATAGTATAATAAAAATTGTTATGTATATGTAATGAAAGTAATATTTCCTGAAGAGCCATAATACACTCTATACCTTAGGAAGATGTGATTTCAAGCAAACCAAGCCCCCACAGGTTGATTTTTTTTTTAATCAATGTTCAACACAGGACACATTCCTCCCCCCATTCCCCCTCAGAGCACTTACTCTAATATCAGCAACAAGCAGCTCTGAAATAGTGGGTGTGAAAACCAGAATCACTTATTCTCCTACAAAGAAAGAGATAAATGTCGCATCCCCATCACAGCTTATGCCCACAGTTAGCCCAAATGAGATATGAGGGTTTCAAGAACAATTTGATTTGGAAGTATTGGGAAGGGAGGAGCCATGCGAAAAAAGGGTCAAAAGGCAGCTTTGTGGAGACATAAGAATAAAATCCTACTCATCACAGCCCAGACTGTAGAGCCAGTGTATTGATATAATCTTGTAAATGGGTTTGGTCCAACCTTGGAACCATCTAACTAGGCTCTAAATGAATGGGGAATGAACTCTGGCTGAGTTCTTCTTATGGCCTGACAAGACAATAATCAGGGAAGAAAGGTTGGAAGATAAAGTAGACCACAGCCGATCTCTTTGTCATCTCCATTGTTAGTCCAGGCATTACAAAAGTGGGCAAGCCAGAGAGCCAACAGATGTCATTAGCCTAGTTCTTGGCAAGTACTTTTCAGGCAAAGAATATACACAGAGCTTTTTTTTTTTCCCCAGGGGAAGCATTTGGTTTGTCAGCAATTCCTATCTGCCAGACCACAAGTCAACAATTGCTAGATAAATGAAAAGCTTCCACTCAACTTACAAACTCTTGGGTAAAGTATTTATTTTCTAGAAATAAAAATGTCTTTTTTTAACAGCACAAGCCATAAATGGTCCCAGTAGTGTCCATTAAGCAATCAAATGCCAAATCCATAAGTCTTATAGACCCTTATGGAAAATGGAAGTGGCTCTACACATCGTGTTGAATGAGGCTATAGATTCACAGAATAAAAAATGGCAGAATAGGTCATAGTTAATAGGTCAGTGACATACTGAACCCATTGTTGTAGTAATGGTAAGGGAAGTTCAGTATAACAATCACTTACGGTATGCTTTATGAAGACAAAACTTGTTTTGAAGACTTTGGATTATATATTTTATGAATTATGCTCCTGCATAATTTGACATTGGCTACTATTATATATAATGATCAGGAGACATTCAAATGTGGAGAGAAATGTTGTGGGTGGGGTTTAACACACACAGAATAGTCTAGGCTTTCTGTCTGTCTGTGTCTTCCCTTCATGCTTATTCCTTCCTGCTGTGTGTGTGTGTGTGTGTGCTTGCTTTGTCAAAGCCCTTCTCTGTTTCCTTCATCTTGCTCTTCCAATATTATCTGCCTGTGCTGAATTTCCACTTCGTCTTTGTGTTTACATGAACTCTTTCCAGCTTCTAGAAGACTAGTTAGTATTTGTATATGCTATCTTTTTAAAATTTAAAACATAAGCAGCATCCATAAGCAGCATCTACCAAGAAGCATCTCAGTTTATTCTTTGCCTGGACTATACCAAAGGGAATCCAAACTAGTAACTCCCTTGAAGATTACAATACAATCTCAGCGTAATGCTTTACTCCCATGGCTTTTACCAAACACACTGAAACATGAAAATGGGTACAACCTCGGAGGTCATTTCTGGTCTTCAGGTATATGATTCTAAGTGGGCATAATAACAGCACTGATAATAGTTTTTTATAATTTTGCTCTTTTTAAAATAATAAGATGAAAGCTCAATCCATAAGGCATATGATTTCTTTAAAAAAGTGTTCTTTGGGGTTTATAAGGAAAAGTATTTTCCTACTAAGAGCATATGAATTTTATGGCACCAACAATAGAACAAAAATATGATGGCTCCTTAAGCCCAGGTCCTTTCCCCAGCATGGAGTTTCCACAGTTATATTAGACTCGACTGACTTTGGTTTTCCTAGGCAGGCCCACGCAGAAGTCATGAGTCAAGGATCAAAATATGCTATTTCTATCAAGATTACCCTTCCCAAAACTATTATTTCCATAAATTTCCAGATTCTGGACTTCTTTCTATGTATTAATACTGGCTGACACAACAGCCTGGGAGTAAGTAGGGAACAGAGGAGAAACACTTCTTAAGACACACGTGGCTGCTTTTCTCATACAGCATGTGCACGAGATTCCAGTGGTGTTGAAGGTGGATGTATAGTCTGCTTCAAGAGGAGAGCAACCCAACACGCACCCCAATGCTTATAGCAGCACTATCGACAACAGCCAAAGTATGGAAAGAGCCCAATTGTCCACTGACTGATGAATGGGTAAAGATGTGATATATCTATATCTATCTATATCTATATAGATACATCACACACACACACACACACACACACACACACACACACACACACACACTATGGAATATTATTCAGCCATCAAAAAGAATGGAATCTTGCCATGTGCAACAACATGGATGCAATTAGAGTGTAGTATGCTAATGAAATACGTCAGTCAGAGGAAGATAAATGTCATATGATTTCACTTATACGTGGAATTTAAGAAACGCAACAGACGATCATAGGGGAAGGGAAGGAAAAATAATATAAAAACAGAGAGGGAGGCAAACTATAAGTGATGCTTAACTGTAGAGAACAAACTGAGGGTTGCTGGAGGGGCTTTGGGTGGGGGGATGGGCCAAATGGGTGATGGGCATTAAGGAGGACACTAGTTGGGATGAGACTGCATGTCATATATAAGTGATGAATCACTGGGTTCTACTCCTGAAGCCAATACTACACTGTAAGCTAAGTTGAATTTATATTTTATTTTATTTTAAATATATTTTATTGATATTTTTATTTATTTATATTTGAGAGAGAGAGAGAACACAAGCAGAAGAAGGGCAGAGAGAGGGAGAGAGAGACACAGAATCTGAAACAGGCTCCAGGCTTTGGGCTGTCAGCTCAGAGCCTGACGCGGGGCTTAAACTCACCGTGAGATTATGACCTGAGTCATATGCTTAACCTACTGAGCCACACAGGTGCCCCATTGAATTTAAATATATAAATAAATAAATAACTTTTTGGCAAAACTGTTGCTGTGATATAAGTTAATTTTATGCGTCCACTTGGCTAGATGATAGCGCCCAGCGTTTTTGTCAAACCCTAGTCTAGACATTGCTGTGAAGGAGTTCTTTAGCATAATTCACATTTACAATCAGTTGAATTTAAGTAATGCAGAATGTGGGGGTGCCCCTCATCTAATCAGCTGAAGGTCTTAAGAGCAATGACAGGTTTTCCCAAGAAGAAGCAATTCTAACTCAGACTGCAACATAAAGACCTGCCTCAGTTGCCCACTTGCTGGCCCACCCTGCAGATTTCAGATTTGCCAGAGCCACAACTGTGTGACCCAATACCTCCCTGTCTGACTCTGTCTCTGTCTGTCACACACACACACACACACATACACATACACACCCCTCCCACTCCTACTGTTCTGTGTTTCTAGAGAACAGTGACTAATATAGTCACCATAATACCTGCTCCCCCCCCCCACTTTTCCTCTGAAATATTAAGCTTGTCTGAAACCATTCTAGATGCAAGCATTTCCCAACATGTCCTTTTAATCATATTTAGATGTTTGGACCCTGACTCCCTGTTTTGTTTGCTTGTTTTAATCCAATCAGACACAGCACACAGCCATCACAACATGAATTCTCTAGGAAGAATTTTTCCCTTTCCCCAGTGACCGAGATGAACCATTTTAATCAATCTACTTTGCTCAAAGAGCTTTTACGAAACTTTAAACTCAGTTCCTTCAAAAAAGACATCAGATGGAAAAGAAAAATCTATGTTTATAAAGCTGACCAAACCTGTACAACTGCTTGAAAAAGCTAGAAAAGTTTAGAGATATAACACAAAGGTTGAAAAGTGTTTTTATATAAAATATACCTAATATCCATTCAAAAATCCTCCAGGGAAAAACTTGAGTTGTAGAAGGGATGCATTCGCAATCATTCCTTAAAGTGTTAGGCTATATCCTCATATATTTTCTGGAGCTGAGGGTCAGGACTTTTTTTTTTTAAACCTAAATTCTGTGGCTTACAAATCTTCATTTTACAAAATGGAGTTAATTTCACATTTTAATTAGGATAGTAA